GCATGGAAGGGCGATGGTGCAGAGGTCAACATGGGCTGTGGCACAACATAGAAGGGTGCCCAGGAAAGGCCCCCGGAGGCGATGACCTGAGTGGGATTCTGAAGGATAAACTGCAATGGGCTGCGGGAAGTGGAGGAAAAAGGGTGGTCCAGGCAGTGAGAGAGACCAGATCAGCAGCAGCTCAGCAGGGTCAAGAGGATTTATGACAGATAATTGAGGCACTGGTACTGGGGCTTGAACCCTGTTCATATCAGTTAATGTCTCCGTGACTCATTGTTCTCCTCATGAGGATTAAATGAGTTAATGAGACGCCCTTAATTGTGCCTGGCACGTGGCAAATGCTCTCTGTTCACTGGATGTTGGGGTTGCAGTCACTTTGGCAATGTGTGGGGTGGGAGTGTATGCACATATCCCTGTGTGTGGTTAAGGGGCCAGATTATGAAGGGCCTTCTAAACTACACTAAGGACTGTAAGTCGGGAGCCACTTAATGCTGTATTCCCTACTCACTTATCTTGACAGGCTCCGAGACACCCTTTCTTATCACCCTCTGTCCCCATACAGTGTTCGCACCCTCAGACCCCATATGTTCCCTCACCACTTCTTCCCTTCTGGTCACCCTCACTCCCAGGCTCTGAATATGAATAATGATCATCCAATTCTATGCAATGAGCGGTCAACAGAGGGTGGCAGAACCAGATACCTGGGATCTGATCTCAAAACTAGATGCAATTTCGCTTCTAACAGAAGTCTCCTTTCGCTTTCAGTAGCATGAGAAAGGGAAAGAAGCAGGAAGCTTTCCAAGCAGGAGGGTCTCCATCCAAGCCCATTCTGGGCTGGACTTGGTCTGCTTCAGAGAATCAACCCATCAGCCTGATCACTTCACTTTTCCCCACTTTAATGAGTTGAATAGTCTTCTTGAGTAGACATTAACAGGCTGGTTAGTTTCTCAGGGCTGTGGCCTTCATGTTCATTGGCCTACCCCAAACGCTTTTGCAAAATATTGGGGATGCCCATTACTAGTGAGATAAAATGTAAACTCTTTGGCATCTCCTCAGAGCCTCCGTAATCCGTCTTCGTTGTCTTCTTCAGATTCGCCCTCAATTCCAGTCTTCCTGACCCACAGGACTCGTACATGGAAGTCAAATGAACACCTGGCTTTGATTCTACAAATGTTGGGATCTTTAGGTCACTATCTCCAGGATGAAATGAGGTTACTCGGTCTGGCAGCATTTCTTAGGGTGTGTTCTGTGATGTTCAGTACCCCACCGGGATCTCCTCCTACCCTCTGGATTCCTGTCCTCTACCGGCTTGCCATGTACTTAAACCACCACCACCAAAACCACCTTTACTGATACTATTCACATACCATAAAGTTCACCCCAGAGTGATTGCAATTCAGTGTGTTTCCCTTATCCAAACTGTACAACTATCACCACTAATTCCAGAACATTTTCATCATCTCCCCAACAAAAATGTAACCCATTGGCATCACTCCCCACTCTTCTTGGCAACCACTAATCTATATCCTATCTCTATGGATTTGTCTACTCTGGACATGTTATAGAACCATACAAAGTGTGGCCTGTTGTGACTGGCTGTGCATGTACTCCTAATGAATCCCCAATCTAGAGGTAGAAATTTCCCTACCCACTTGTGTCCCAGGCTTCTGTGTCCTTTACCTAGCAGTAGCCATTGACTCAAGAAAACGGACACTTCAGAACTATTAGGAGACCTATCTTCTCACTATATGCTGGTACCTCTATCACAGCAATAAAAGCAGACTCTGAAAACCTCTGGCTTAAACACCCTGGCTTAGTGTGTCAACGACAACAACAACACTCCGTATTTAAAAGTATTTTTTTTTTATTTAACTTTAATTTCTGAGGTAAAATACTTTTTTCTTTCAACTTCCATAACAAAATACAGAGCTATCAGATACCCCTGGAAAAAAATATGTATATTATACATATATTTCTATAACATTACATCATATATATAATATATATGCAAAAATTTGAAGACTTTATAGAAAGCGGAACATCTAAAAGGCACTGCACAATGGAGTTAAGATTACTTACATTTTATGTACATATACACACGTTATTCTGCTTAAGCTAACTAGTGAAGTCATTTTTCACATGTGAATATCTCACAATTCCCTGCATCACAATTTTATAACTCAAATAATGCCTAAATATTTAAAAACAAATTAAATGGTAACTTTTTTTTCCCAACAAGTAACTAAAAATGGAACAGTTCTTAAAAGACTGGATCAAAGCTCTCTTTAACAGAATTAAAATTTCTTTACTGTTTATAAAACAAAAAGCACAAACATAATTAGGGAAATTTTTTAAAAAAGGGGGACAAATAGGCAACGCACTCTACCCACTTGGTGAGAAGTGAAATACAACTATATTTTTAATGCTTCTGAGTTTCTTGGCCCATGGAGGACTAGGGTGCAGTAATTCCCTGTTAGTGAGTTGGGTTTAATGCAGTGCAGCTTGAAAATGTGGGGGTGAAGGGATTGGTGAATTGTTTAAGACTGACCTCTACTATTCTCTGTTTTCAACAGTCAAAAAAAAAAAAAAGCAAACTGTCTGCACAAATTCTTAATTAATAAGACTTCAAGATTCATATTTGTAAAGTTTTGAACATTTGGCACAGCAAAATTCAGAAAAACTGAGGGAGAAAATAGGTCTGGTTTCACCCCCCTTTTTTCTATCTGCTGTTGGACAGTGATAAGATGCTCACAGAAAAGTAAAGGCTGGCTTTGTGCCAGGCTGGTGACAGGTGCTGCCAGGAGCAGGCTGGGGGGAGAAAAAGTAACTCCCACCCCTTCACCCCAGGAATGACCCACCTCCACATTCCCTGGTCCACTTCCTGAGCAAGCCCAAGTTTGGCTCTATTATAAAGGACCCTCCCCTCCACCCCAACCCCAGTGTGCAGTGCAAATTGACCAACAATTTACTGGTGGAGTGGCAATCAAAGGAAACAGTTAAACACCAAATAATTTCGTAAAGCCAAAAACATTTTCATGGACTTGAACATTTTTTGAGTGGCTTTTTTTTTTTTTTTTCAAGTGTAAAAGCAGTGACTTTTTGTTCAAACAGAAGCAGCATCTAGGAATTCTGGCACTTGGGTTCTAGGGGGTCACAGGTATGCAACATGGATTTCTTTCCCTCTTATTTAAAGGCCTCATGTTTCTATTCCTGAGTTAATACCGATACCTGCTGGCTCTCCCCTCTAGTGGACAGGGAGGGTGGCCAGCCAGCCTCCCTGGTTAGATTGGGCAATGACAAGAAGACATACCTCCTCCACATGCCCGGGCTTGCTTTCCGATTCGAGGTAAGTTGAGGTGCAGAGAAAGTAACTGACAAAAACATAACCAACCAAAGATACCCTGAACAGGGAGCCCTATGCAGCCTGACCAAAGCCTGAGTCCTTAGGGACTGCTCTGTCAGTCCCTTTCCCAGGGAAAGACAGGTTACTCATGGAATTTGAATTAAACAAGGGGGAGGGCACTTGCCCCAAAAATCTGCATGATGGACTCATCATCCCAAACCACCTAGTAACCCACTCACCTGCTCTAACCTTCCCTGAGCCCCTCATGCACGCTCTCCTTTAATAAAGAACCACCACCTGCCAACGTTGAAAGACAACCCTCCAATGCTCCTTAGAAGAGCTCATGTAGGTTAAGGTGGAGTCAGGAATTTCTCCATTCCTCGACAGCATCCCTGTGCCCACTCCTGGCCCCTATCCGATATGGAGTTCCTTCTCTCCCTGCTGCCAGGTGTTTTGAGCCAGTTAGGTGTTTCCACATACGAGTTACATGGGCACATGCATTCAGAGCTGGCTGTGGCTTCTCTCTCTGCCTCTAGTCCAGGTTCCTGTCCCTTCCTAGAAAATCAGTACTTCCCCATTCCTTTGAAGTTGATGGAACAATTCCTCATTGTCTGTAAACTGGAGTCTCATATAGGATAGTCAATTGATCATGAGTATTAGAATGGGCTAGGGCAGTGGTCGGCATACTGGCCCCTTGAGTGTGGCTCTTCCACAAAATACCACGTGCGGGCGTGCACGTCAGTGCAAAATGAAACTTCGTGGCCCATGCCACAGGGCCAAAGAGCCGCATGGGGCTCGCGAGCCGCGGTTTGCCGACCACTGGGCTAGGGAAATGGTATGGCAAGAATGGTAATGCCACAATGGGACAAACACCATTCATATCAGGCCTTTTGACATCTGGTTGCTTTATCTAACTATTCCTTCAGATTCAATAAACCTCCACTTGTACCCCCAGCTACCTTCTGCATTTCCAGCTATCATCTGTCTTTCATTCCTATAATCCTGCCTTTTTACTATCTATCCCAATAACATCTAGAGAGGATGACTAAATATTAGCTCAAACTTTAATCATGCTTCAAAATTCTTGGATTATCTGAAAAGTTGTTCATGTCCTTTTATAGGTTTATTTTGACAGACCCGTATCATGTTAAAGTATGTTCACTGTTAAGGCTTGACTGAAGAAAATGATAACAGAGCCAGACAACAAAAACACATCTTTACCAGTGTCATGCCTTTCAGTGAACTCGCTACAGCCATATTCTGGTTTGGCTCCCCAGACCCATGATGGAAAAGGAAAAATAAAGGATATTTTTGTGTTTGTTTTGTTTGTAAAGGCGTTGGGTTACTTCCTCCTGCCCTCTTCTTCCCTGAATAAGAGTTTACAACTCCTCATGGCTTCTTAATAGGTGAAGGTGAAAAGTCCAAAAAATTCACAGCAGGGCTTCCTCTCTCAACCATGTAGCCAGGCTCAGTGCCTGCTCCACTCTAACTGGCAGTATGTTTCATGTTTCCTGAAAACATTTTTTAGAGGAAAAGAAAAAAATGCCAAACAACCAAGGAAAAAAGAAAAAGAAGCAACATCTGAACACCCCAATCGCCCTACCCCAGTAAGATGAGAATATCTTATTCTCCCCTGAAATAATTACAAAGAAACATCTCAGGCAAATACTGAGTATTAACGGTCTTTCGCCCCCCAACCATGCCCTTTCCCCTTTATATGTAACTTTCAGAGCAAAATAAACTCATTAATGGCTTTCCTATATATAAATACAGTAGAAAAGAAAGAAGTCTGGAACCTGAACATCATAGGACCAAACAGTGTCTTGGCCCTTTGGGAGTTTGTTCAGAAAGTATTCGCCTCAATAGGAAATAGAGGCCCTTTCTCCTTTCAGTTCAATACCCTTCCTGTGTCCTCCTCACCAGGAAAAAAAGTGTGTTCATATCTCACCTAATTTACAACAGAAGATGCCCAATCCCATTCCTAAAACATAAAAATACAAGTCTATGCTCCTAGAATGATCAAACCAGCTAATGCCCTCCCCCCAGCCCCGAAATCTTGCTACATAAATACATGTATATGATTATAGTATAAACAGCTCCCAATCCACTTGCAATTCTAAGCATCAGCAGCTGCCGTCGCCAAGCCCTGTGGTCCCGACCCATTCCAGAGGAACTTGCCATCCTTTCTCAGCTCTCGGGCTTCAGGGTCGTCATTCCAGCGCCGCTTCAATCGAAGCTTGGGGGGCATCAGGGCATCTTCTTTCTTCTCAGGCGCACTGGGCTCTTTGCTAGGCCTATCTTCACTGTCTTCAGTCACTTCTAGGGGTTCTTCACTTGGTGTGCTACTGGGTACAGAGGGCCAGACAGGTGGTGCCTCTGGGCGGGCAAAGATGGTGCCTTTTTCCTCCTCTATGGTCCTGCTTGGCACAGTGCCCTCTTGAGAGTGCTCCTCCTTCTCTTGGGGTGACTGCCTGAGACTCTCAGGATCCTTTACAGAGGTTGGCTCTACCTTAATTCTCGGGGGCACAGGCGCCATGGTGGGAGCAGTGACAGGTGCTGACTCCTCCCTGCTCTCTACCCTCTCCCGGTTCTTGCGCCCAACTGGCGGGGGCTGCAGCTTGATAGAAAACTGGGTAGACTCTTCAGGATGCATTTGGCACTGCAGTGGTGGAACCATGAGCCCTGGGTAACGGGGAAATGTCCGGGGACTCAGATGGTAGTTGAACACAGAACAGGCTTGAGAATGAAGGTAGTGTTTCATTTCCTCAGGGTTGAAGGAAAAGCAACTGCTGCTGGTGAAAGGGCTCAGGCCTGGTGAAGGGCTATAGGAGAAGATGGTGGGGGTCAGGGAGAGGGCTGGTGAAATGGGAACATTAAGGACACCTCCTCGGCCAGGGATTGGAGAGACAGCAAAGGGACTATGGGGGTCAGGGTAGATCCCTGGCCTACTGAACAGAGGAAGCATGATGTCAGGCTTGCGTTTCTGATGGCCAATCCCTCCTCCACCAACAGCATTCCGGGAGGACATGAGATCCACACCCCGGCGCCAGTCAGCGGCTGAGCCATCCTCCAGCTCCGAAAGCTCCGCCTTTCTGTCAGCGCCATTACTCAACTCCTGACCAGCCGTTAGGGAGCTGGCAGAGAACCGCCCCGGCTGCACGTCACTAGTTGGAGAATGAGTGTCCAGAGGAGGGAAATGGAACCGGGAAGAGGCTGTTGGAACTGGTGGTGCACTCTGGGGAACCACACCTGTGGAGGAAGAAAAACAAAAGGTAATCCGTGATCTTCACTTTTACGTATGCTAAACAAGTACAGGATGTTTAGGAACAACAGGAAACACTCCAGCTGGACTGATTCCCTTAGCTCCCTGTCTCCCTAGTAACTACTGCTTAGCTTCCTCTTCTCAATTTAGTTGCCATCTTTCTGTAGCCTCTTACGTTATCTTCACAGTACGCTCTGCTATCTGAAATATGATTTACCTGTTTATCTGTGTTCTAAAACATAAATTCCACAAAGGCAGGGACTTCCAATTGTTCACAACTACATTTCCAGCAGTTTGGGGCTTAACAATGAGTAAGTGCTCAATAACTATTAGTTGAATGAATGAATGGGTACAAGAGCCTTCTCCTCTGCAACTCTAAATACTGTGTGTATATATCACCTGTTTTAATTCTCAGCTTTGCAAATAGTCTTATTTTCACAATTTTGGCCCTATCTATAAAGCAAGCAAACACACCAAACCAAAAAATAAAAAATAAATCCACAAACAAAATTAAAAATTACATTCATGTAAAGCAATGCATTAAAAAGATGCCCTAGCTCAGTGGTTGGCAAACTGTGGCTCGCGAGCCACACGCGGCTCTTTGGCCCTTTGAGTGTGGCTCTTCCACAAAATACCGACTTCTGCACATGGGCCACGAAGTTTCAATCACACTGTACATGCACGCCCGAACGTGGTATTTTGTGGAAGAGCCACACTCAAGGGGCCAAAGAGCTGCATGTGGCTCGCGAGCCGCAGTTTGCCGACCACTGCTCTAGCTGGTTTGGCTCAGTTGATAGATCGTTGGCCCACAGACTGAAGGGTCCAGGGTTCGATTCGAGTCAAGGGCATGTACCTCGGTTGCAAGCTCAATCCCAGACCCTGGTCTGGGCACGTGCAGGGGGTAACCAATTAATGTGTCTCTCTCACATCAATGTTCCTTGCTCTCCATCTCTCCCCTTCCCTTCCAGTCTCTCTAAAAATCAATGGAAAAATCTCCTTGGTGAGGATTAACAACAACAACAAAAAAGACCAAAGACCCTGCACCTAACCTATATGGATACAAACAAGGCATATTTTAAGAATAAAAACAGATTTTAAAACAAAAGCCATGTTTATTAAGTTCTTATGGTATGTGTTTTATCTTTCTGATATACAATAACCACTTTATAGAAATTTAAATGTTTCAATCTCTCCAAATCTATATTTCTCTAACAAATTTATATAATGATCTCCATTCCAAACCTGCTTTCAATACTTTTCAAGCATGGAGAAGGCTGGGTGAAATCCAGGACCTAATACTCACTCTACCAAGGCTACCTGCTAAAATGTGAAGCTCTAAGCTACCAACAGCATGCTAGCTAGACATGTCAACTTCAGACACTCATATAAGTTCTCAACTCCCCAAAAGGCCCTTTGATAAAAAAGGGCATAAGAAGGGTTGCAAGCCAAGGCCTCAGAGACCCTTTGGGTTCCTAGGGAAAATTATCCATATTTATCACTGCAGATGTCAGGAGGGCTCTTTTCATCTGACACAGAGATAAGGGAGATGGGAAAAAAGGGTGAAGAAAAAGGTAAGAAAAATCCAAATAAGTAAAAGTATGGTGATGAAGAAACAAAAAAGCGCATAAGACAGTGTGGTTAGGCATCACTTCCAAACAGTTGCCTTCTGCTATTTGTATAATGGAGTCATCCTCAGATAGGATTCTGGAGTCTGCTGGTGTGTGCAAGACTAGCTTTCTAGGCACATGTGACTGAGTAATACTCTGCCAGAGCGGCACTTCCCAAACTGATGCTTCACAGAAAATACAGGACT